AAGCAGCTCTGGCTCGGGCTTCCTGGAGTCAGCTGCTGGTCAGTTTCAGCAGCGGCTGAATCGGGGACACCTGGGGTAGAATATGTACCAGTTCCGACTTACATACAAATTCAACTTAAGAACAAACCTACAGTCCCTATCTTGTACGTAACCCGGGGACTGCCTGTACTGACACTTATTTCCCAACATTCATTTCAGAGAAGGCAAACAGCTATATAAAGTACAGGGAAAACTGATCAAATAGGAAATAAGTCAGTGAAAACAAATATGAAAGCCATTGAAGTTTATTAATTACTCTTAATTTACCATATGGAGGCAGAATTATTTTGAACAAGGGTAGGCTAAATAAACAGAATATACTGTCAGATTTTTTTAAAATGTTAAAATTAAGCACAGAACAGCCCATTTAATGCTTTAAACAACCTCAGCAACTGTTTGGGATCTCATTCTTTGAGAACTAGCATACGGAGTCTTGCAGTTTAGGCCAACCCAGTCTTTTTCACACCTTTTAATCACTGGGAGCAAAAGGGGAATCACTTTTCTGCCTGAGATCTTCCTTTAGAAGTAGGATCCCCAAGAGAGTGTACTGTGTTTTGCTTGAAACCCCGTAAATCAGTAGCATTACTGCTTTGTGTTGTCATGGAAACATTATTCAACCCTACTGTCTTCTCAAGACCGTAATGATTGGGTGTCTGCTACAGAAGCTTCATCTGAATTAATGACTAATCTTTAGCTGAGATGCGATTGCTGCGGGTGTTACCTGTAAGATGTGCTGTTGGGCAGCCACCTAGGTAAGAATCAAGTGCCGCCCAGCTGATTAGCAAAGCACCCTCAGCTGGCAGCATGTGTTTGTACTGGTGATGCACATCTGCACATGACTCAGTGCACATAACAAAATTTATTCAACATGTGAATGGAAAAAATTAGAGGGAACATTGGTTGCTGCTGCTTCTTTCCTGCTCTGTCATTGTTTTGTCCTGTTTTTAATTTCTCACTTCCCCTTTTAATGTCCAATACCGCGACCCATTTCCTCCAAGACTGAAGCAAAGGCTGGAAATTTCTACATAAACTAAATGATTCTCTGTTTTGGGAGATTGCCAGTTAACAGTATATAACCAGACTATATGGGCCCAAGAAGCCACATTAACTCTTAGCAACACAGTAAATTCCTCACAAACCACAAAGCAGGCCCTCCTTACATTTCTTAAATCATTTTCAAGTAAAAATAAAACTCTCTATACTGTATAATACAGTCTAAGATTGTCAGGTGTTGCTAGGGTTTTAAGTGTAAAAATTAAAAATATACCAGTATGTTTTAATAGCCTGATAATTCTATTCATAAATGTTTTTGTTAGTTCCTTTGTACTGAAACATGCAATCTATTACTACGATCCTGCAAATTATTCTATGCAGGAGAACCTCTGTACCTGCTCTCTAGAACTCCTTTGAATTCAATGGAGTGTCATGCAGTCACAGGAGTCTGTCTGTCTCCATGGAGCAACTAGCAAAATGGAAGCCCACATCACAGTCAGTTATGAAAAAGGGGCAGATTTAGTTATTTCTTGCTTGCTTTTGCTTTTTCAAAAAAAATCCTCTATTAAGGACAATAACACATGGTAGGTTTTCAGCATATCACAGGATTGGACTTTGACCCAGTCAAAAAGTTGGTGGATACATCATCGAAAGTGCTTTTGATCATGTGATGACCAGAAATAAGATTCTGCACAACAGTTTGGAAGTTCTTATACTTACTACACACTTATTTATTCTTACCATTGTTTCTTTAAGGGTAACTTGTGCATCTAGAATTACAGAATCACTTGTGTAAAATAGATTTTACTTAGTTAAATAGACCTATAAATAAAGATGAGAATGAAACATTAGGTCATGAAGATACAATGAAGCTCCACTTAAGACTTTTGCACATAGTGGAAGCCACAAAAAAAGGATATCTGAAGCAATTCAGTAGAATCTTAGCAGCCTGGCAAACAGCTCACTTATTGAGGCCAAGCTCTTTTCCAGATGGTTTAACAACAGAGGATTAATTGTGATCGTTCTTGAAGAAGGAATTCCTTGAAGAACTTTGTCAACCAGTGTAGGTTCTTGAATAAGCAAAAAATGTAAATAAATTACTGTATACAAAAAGATGGGTCAATGTGTTCTTGTCAATGCCCCAGGAAACACAAATATACATTTCAGTGGTAATCCGAAAGGCCAAAATTCAAGGACAGTTTAACACAATAGTTTTATTTCAAGCTTTGAGAATAACAAAATCTCTTTAAACATCCTTTTCTTTTACAGACTGCTATATCACATTTTCAAACACTATAAAAACAGTGGGTGAGATCTGAAGCTGGTATAAATCAGAATAGTTTCTTCAAAATCTATCCTCTGAGTACTAAACTTGCAAGAAGTCAGCATTCTCTTACTGATTTCACTGCTCTGTGGATGTGTTCCCATGCTTTTGTTATAATTAATTCCAGGAAATATTTAATTTCTCAGTGTAATTACTAATGAAGCACTCTAATTTGCTACTCATATATTGAATAATACCTTACTCTGCAAATTGCCCAACTGATATCATCGCCACGAGCCTGATGCAAAGCTCACTAACATCAGAGGGACTGCTAGGCCGTGTCTACACAGAAGCATTATTATGGAATAACTGACATTATTCTGAAATAACAAAGAGTGTGACTATGCTACAAGACTTTATTCAGAAATAATGGTGAGCTGAAGGACTTAAAACTCCAACTCTCCATCTCCTGGTAACCCTCATTTTACGAGGAGTAAGAGAAGTCGAAGGAAGAGTGTTCTTCCTTCAACTTCCTGCTGTGTACATAGTGCCAAAAACTGAGTTAACCTACTTGGCCTTAAATTACGCAATTGATGTAGCTCAAGTTGCGTAGCTTAATTCAACTTTTGCCCAGGGCTGGCACTTATCATGAGGCGAACTTGAGGCGGCCGCCTCAGGTACCAGACTGTGGGGTCGCCACTAGAATCCAGAGTGTAGAAAATTGGGTAGGCTGCTAGTGCAGCGAGGGAGCATGGGCGCATCATTTGAGCTCCCTGCCTCAGGTGCCAAAATGTTGTGGGCCGGCCCTGCTTTTGCCCTGCTGTGTAGACGTACCCCTAATGAAATAAGATACAACAGTGTGAGTGGGGAGACAGAGTAGAGTGTGACTCTATTACTGGAGCCTGTTCTCTTCCTTCAGTTCTTTCTCCTTCAGTTCTGTTCTCATCTCTTCAGCTCCTTTGTTCTCTTAAAAAATCCCTGGGAGCATTGATCAAAGCTCTGCATAAACATTCATTACAACTTGCTCTGGGTTTGTTCTCTCAGAGGCAGCCTCATTAAGACCATCGTTATTGTTTAGAATTTAGGTACTTGCTTTTGTCTTTTCAGGTCTGTTATTTTTTTTCTTCACTTTGTTTCAGAAGGACGCTGTTGATACTCCTGGCAGGCCTGAGAAGTACTGATAACTTACAGACTGAAACAACACTGCATTTACTTGGTACTGTACATTAATTTTAGTTTGCGCCATGTTTTTTATTTGTGTTTACAGTAATGCTGAATTGATTATAATTTTGTATTTTGCGGAAAATGAAATACAATTTAAGGGACAAAAAAAATTGTTCAAATGTTTTTGCTAGGAATCTAAGACTTTAGCATGAATTACAGCAACTGTAGCCCACTTTGATCATTCAGAGCAGTAGAAAAACTCCACTTAACTTAAATGGGCGTTGGATCAGGCCCTTAATACACCCACATCTTCAGATTATTATTTCATCATAGAATACTAGAACTGGAAGGGACCTTGAGAGGTCATCAAGTCCAGTGCTATGCACTCACGGCTGGACCAAGCACCATCTAGGTCATTCCTGGCTGATACTTGTCTAACCTGCTCTTAAAAATCTGCAAGGGTGGAGATTCCACAGTTCCCCAGGCAATTTATTGCTTAACTACCCTGACAGCAATTTTTTTCTAATGTCCAACCTAAACCTACCATGTTGCAATTTAAACCTATTGCTTTCTGTTCTGTCATCAGTGGTTAAGGAGAATACTTTTTTCCCTCCACCATGTAACACTCTTTTAGGTACTTGAAAGCTGTTATCATGTCCCCTCTCCGTATCTCTTTTCCAGACTAAACAACCACAGTTCTTTTTATCTTCCCTCATAGGCAGCGGTGAAAGTAACTTAAAATTTCTTACAGGTACTGTCTATTGTAACCCAGGTCCCTGCCAGTGCTTTAAATAGCTCCCTGCTAGCTTTTGCCGCAGCTCAGCCAGCTCTTGCCAGAGCTGCGCACCAGGGTGCACCTACTTACTTTCACTTCTGCTCATAGGTCATGTTTTCTAAACCTTTAGTCATTGGATTGCTCTTTCTCTGGACCTTCTCCGATTTGTCCACTTGTATCTTGAAATGTGGTGGACACAAATTCCAGATCAGGCCTAATCAGCACAGAGTTGAGTAGAAGAATTATTTCCGGTGTCTCACAACACTCCTACAGGTCAGACCTCCCTAGTCTGGCACCAGGACCACAGAGTTCTGTACTGCTTCCAGCCGGGGCTGAACTCCCTGCTACCAGCCCCGCTGCCTCCAGCACCCAACTGGATCAGCGCCGCCCCCCCACTGCACTAGTGCCAGCCTCGCAACCCTCCTGCCACAAATGGAGCTGCTCTCCCTGCCGCCACTCCCTGCAATCCCCACTGTGTTAACCCTGTCAAGAGCTGGCCCTGCTGCCTCCAGCCCCACTGCCTCCAGTTCTCGCCAGGACTGTGATCTTGGCTGCTGGCCTCACTGCCTCCAGTCTCAACCAGGGCTGTACTCCCTACCACATTGCCCCATTGGGGCACTCCCCACCATGCCAGCCCCATTGGGGCTGTGCATCTGAACCTGGCTAGCTGGGGCTCTCTGGTCCAGCAATATCTGTGGTCCTACTAAACAATGGATGTTGCCAGATCAGAAAGTCCCAGGTTTTAGAGATTCAACCTGTATTAATACATCCCATAATAATGTTTGCCTTTTTTGCAGCAGTGTCACACTGTTGACTCCTATTTAAGTTGCTGTCCACTATGACCCCTAGATCGCTTTCCGCAGTACTGTACTCCTTCGTAGGCAGACATTTCCCATTTTAGGTTTGTAAAACTGATTGTTCCTTCCTAAGTGGAGCACTTTGCATTTGTCCTTATTGAATTTCATCCTATTTGCCTCAGACCATTTCTCCAGTTTGTCCAGATCATTTTATCATTCCCCTCTGCGGCTTCCTGTTGTATTTATTATTGGCTATCAGTTACCATTTTTTTACCACTTTTAACAATACCTCATCTGTATGTTACATCATTTTCCCTTTTGATAAACTACAGTGCTTTAAATAAATTCAAATTCTTCTTCTAAAACTTTGAAAATATTTCCCTGGTATGTCTTAAATGTATCTCTTCTTTGTCATACACATTGCCTCTAAACAAATGACATATGGATAAATGGGGAGGATTGTGTAGGTGTGCGTGATGTATCACACAGCTGTTTTGTTTTCCAAAATACGTGCAGAATACACTCTATTTTTAACTATGAACTATTTATAGGGCTTATACTTGGTAGGCGGTATAAAGCGGGTACTGAGATATAATTTTTTTGCTAGTTTTAGATTTGTCATTCCTTAAAACCCTCAGATAGCACAGTTAGTTCTTAATCCAAAGGTGCACAGAGGTCAGCATGATAATCATTTAATTTAGGGATGTGAACGACTAGTCGACTATCTGATAAGCAAATGCTTATCGGACAGTCGACATGCTAGTCGACTAGTCAGTTCACCCTTTGCTGCGTCTATCAGCCCGCTGTCAGGCTCCATACAGTGTTTTAAAGTGGCAGAGCTGCGTGGAGCCCAGGGTCAGCTAGAAACTCCCCCGCTGACCCTGGGTTCCATGTGGCGCTGCCGCTTTGAAACACCACATGGAGCCTGATGCCAGGCTCCCAACAGTGTTTCAAAGTGGCAGCGCTGCATGGAGCCTGGGGTCAACTGACCCCAGGCTCCATGCGGCACTGTTGCTTTGAAACACCACAGGGAGCACTGGGCCAACGGGGGACTGCTTGAGTCCCCCGTTGGCCCTGTGCTCCCTGCAGCACTTTCACCTTTGAAGTATAGTAACAGCTGTGGGGTTGTTGCTACACTTCCAAGGCAGAAGTGCCCTTATTGACTAATCAAATAGTCTATGCAAATTGCATCAACTATCCGATTAGCTAATTAATCAACATTTTACATCCCTAATTTAAATGTAGACATATTTCAAGTTGTCTGATATGGTGAAATGAAGTCAGTGGAAAAGGTAGAAATTTATAGGACTCACAGCTGATGTGCTATTGCACATTTTTTGAAAGATTTTAGCACTGCTTAACCAAAGGGGAATTGTGCAGTCAAGTAACATTTCTCATAATCCATCTGAATGTAGAGAATGTGTTCCTGGTCTCCACAAAACAGCTTGCTGATGTAATCAGCGGAGTCACCATATTCCAGTGAGAGGCTAGCTGCAGCTTGCAAAGTCACTGTTCCAACCCACTAATCATGCATTTTTCATACTGTTGAGAAATTATCTGAGGAGTCCTGTAGGAATGTACATCTCTCACAATAATTTTACACTGTAGCCTTTTTAACGCTGATAATTTAGCAGCTATGTTTCTTAACATGAAGAGTACATTCTTGCCCCTTGTCAACTGGATCCTTTTATCAACGGTCAGGATCTGCCAAGGAAAACAAAGTGGTTAGCTATGAAGATCCTTTTTAAATTCCTGATTTACAGAAAGATAAATCTGTAGTTCTGTGCTAATGTTTACATATGCAATTGTTGTTGCATACACAAAAGGCCATTTAAGTGTGCTTTCTCCAGCTTTCATTTGTACAATAGAACTTCCAGGGACACCATTTCAGATTTTGGTAGGGTGGTGACCTGTGCATGCCATGATGAGGGGAGAAAAGAGTGCATATGAGGGGGGCGGACTAATGACAGAGGCTTCAGCAGTGTTACTGATCATGCTCAGTACAAGCCAAATGCCAAATGGTGGGAACCAACCCCATCTGCCTCCCCCCACCTCATCTCTTTCCAGGGGCTACTAAGGTACTGGAAAACTCTACTTTTTTGGCAGAGAACTTAGCAGTTAGCCAACAGGAGCACTGTATCTAATTCCTATATAAAATAAATACAATTAAATAAATATTATACCCACTCAGCTCTACAACTAGCAAATTCTGACATTTTGTGGCAAGTCACGTAAGGGACACTGGTTAGTCTTAAAATTTTAATATATATTCTTACTTTGTTACTAACTCTATGAGGAGAGAGAGACAGAGACACACACCGAGACACACTCCATCAGGACTCCTGGGAGCTCTCTCAGCTCTGGAAAAGGAGTGGGATTTAGTGGGTTACAGCAGAGGGCAGATACATTTCAGCTGTCTAGAAGAACATCAGAATGGCCATACTGAGTCAGACTAATGGTCCTTCTAGCCTTGTATCCTGTCTTCCAACAGTGGCCAATGCCAAGTGCTTCAGAAGGAAAAAACAGAAGAGGCAATCATTATGATCCATCCTGTCACCTATTTTGTTTGTTTTACATTTGTTGCCTATAAATTTAATTGGGTCATCATGTTGTGTCGTGTTAGTGAAGGAATGAATAACATTTCCTTATTCTATTTTCCCACACCATTCATGATTTGCTAGATTGCTAACATATCCTCCCATCCTTTAGTCATAGAGGGTATGTCTACACTAGCCCCCCAGTTCAAATTAGGGAGGCTAATGTAGGCATTCAAAGTTGCAAACGAAGCCCAGGATTTAAATATCCCGGGCTTTATTTGCATGTTCCCATCCGGTCGCCATTTTGAAATTCCACTAGCCCAAAGTAACTGCCCACGGCTACATGCATCAGTGAAACGGCAATTCGAGTTAACTGTTACTCCTCCTGGAATGAGGTGTAACAGTTAATTTGAACCAAGGACTTAGTTCAAATTGCTGTTTCACTGCTGCGTGCAGTTACTTCGGGCTAGTGGAATTTCAAAATGGCGACCAGACGGGAAGATGCAAATAAAGCCCGGGATATTTAAATCCTGGGCTTAGTTTGCAACTTCGAATGCATACATTAGCCTCCCTAGTTTGAACTAGGGGGCTAGTGTAGACATACCCTTATTTTCCAAGCTGAAAAGTCCCAGTTTTGTTAATCTCTCCTCATATGGAAGCTGTCCCTTACCTCTAATAATTTCTGTTGTACTTTACCTTTCCAAATCCAATATATCCTTTTTAAGGGCAAGGTGACCAGATTTGCATATGGTATTCAAGATGTGGGCATACAATGACTTTATATAGAGGCATTATAGAATTTTGTCTTATCTATTCCTTTTCTAATAACTTCTAATATTCTGTTGGCTTTTTAATTTTAGACTGCCACTGCACATTGAACAGATGTTTTCTGGGAACTATCCACAAGGATTCCAGGATCTCTTTCTTGAGTGGTAACAGCTATTTTAGACCCCATCATTTTTGTATCTATAGTTAGGATTATATTTTCCATGTGCATTACTTTACACTTATCAACACTGAATTCCATCTGCCCTTCTGTTCCCTAGTAATCCAGTTTTGTGAGATCCCTTTGTATCTCGTTGCAGTCAGCTTTGGATTAGTCACTGTTTACCCCTTTTTCAAGAACATTTATGAGAAGTTTAACAACAGTGTCCAAATGCAGATCCCTGCAGCCAGGGCCGGCCTGAGGT